AAAAAAAATTAAAAATTACAATTCCTTTAATCTGTTCATATAACGCTTTTCTATATAATCAACAGTTTTGCCGGTAAAAATAAATGTATGAAGAAAAAATATATTTTTTGCCTAAAATATTAAATTTTTTTATTTTTTACATTCATAAAAAATCTAAAACGGAAAAAAAGGCAAGTCGTATTACTTTCACGCAAAGTCACATAACCTTTAAGCAAAATGAGACATAGATCATGAAAATCGATGGACGCGTTTCGCTTTTATTCACAATTAAGTGAAGGTATCTTATTTTGACAAGAATATTTCTTCTATATGATAGTTACTAACTTCAAATCGATATATCTCGATTCCTAGACGTGACCCAGCGAAACGCCGGGCCACGTATAACTTGTTTTTGACCGATATAACATTTCCCGTTGGTTTCATCCAGGGAACTGCTATTATTCGTGTTTTTAAGTAATTGGATGAATAACACAAGAAATAGTGTTAGTGGATATTGCAGAATATTCACACATATGCACTAACTATTTTACGCTCGGCACACAAAGCGAGAGCATGTACAATGACTAAGTTTTCTGTTGATATGCATTGGTGTAGTGCTCAATTCTCTCATTGAGCCATTAAACAAATTAGTTATACCGAAATGAGTAGGAGCACTAAGAAGCACCCACGATTGAGAGAATACAAAGGTTGCGCCGATCTCGGAGCGCTATTCCTCTCTTAACGAATTTGACAGAATCGTTGTTTGCATGACGTCACACTTGTGCAACTTGTTTACGTTTTCCTTGCAACATTTAGTCTGTTCCTTTGAACTTCGGACTAAAACCTGTGGAACTGTCAAACTACAATTTTACTCTCTCAAATGAGAGTAAAAGGAGAACGGACTAAATCCTGTAACTTCTGACTAGGAACAGTTGCTCAGTTACTCTCTCAAATGTGTTCCCACTTACAGGTTTTATGTCAATAGGAACGACTTCCTGTAAGTTCTGACTAAATCCTGTAAACCGGACTGCTATTGGAACAGACTAATTTTTTCTTCTTCTTCCATTCTTGCTCACGTTTTGGCATTTTTCTCTCGCAATTGGACCAGTGTGACGTCACACAAAAGTTATTCTCAAAAATTCTCTCTGATCGGCGCAATCTTGAATTCTATCATTCTTGTGGGTAGACTATACTCGATAGAGACAAAAATTGCCGCCACAAATAAGAGTTAGTATATTTTGAGTGTGTTCTTGCTTCGGTGGAAATTACTCTTAGTCATTTTTTGAATTAGTGTAAGTGCTAATTTGCACAAATTTTTATGGATCATGAATAAGAATACTAATTTTATTAGTACTCAAAGCCGGTCTCTGGTTTCATCCCATCCCGATTTTGACTGTCGCATAGTGTTATTCATTGTGAATATGCTCGTATGAATATTGCGTTTTTTCATTACCGTTCCACGGTTGTTTTAAACGGACAATTTCAAGTATGCAGTTAAATAGTAATAAAAAACGAAGCGAAATATGGAAATTTTTGAACAAATAAATGAAACTTTTTCCTCTTTTCTATACACAAATATTTTCGGCTGAAATCCCTACGGGTGGGAATTATCGCTACGTGTACAAACACTGATTTGTCATCTTTTATTAGAATCATTACACATTTCTGTGTTATTAAAAGAACTAGCGATCGCAATAGCCATAAAAAGTCACTGTGATTTAAAAATCGCAATAACTCTTTTCACTGTTACTGAAAAAGCGCTTGAAGAAGTACTGAGCCTTTTCCGTACTTGTATTTGCAATAATTTTCCCAATAAATTTAAAAGGATGAACAAGTATTGCTTGGTTCGCTGTCTGTACAAGAACTGCTTTTATTAATGTCAGAGCTGCTCTTGCAGACTCAAAATTTTATCAACATAATACTATGTATTTACAGTATGACCTAAATGACATCGCACATGCAAAAGGCAGAAAATAGAAAATGACAAAGGTGATAACCACTAGTTACATTATGCTTATATAGAAGTATGTACATACAATTGCAAAGTAAATACATAAGCCGTATTACAGTGAAGAGAAAAAATACTGAAGCAAATAGATTTCATAAAGCAATGTTGTTTTCAAGGGTTTAGCTGTTCTCTAAACATCCTGCCCCCGTTGGAAGGCTTTGCGTTTCAACAGAAGTATCCTCTATTGGGAGTGGACAAAGCTTTTTAATAGCGCGTCTGGTTGTACCGCCACTAAATTTAAGCACAGCTACACGTGAAACGCCATCATTGCCTTTGATGGTATCGATGACTCGAGCTAGTTGCCATTTTAGAGGGGGAACGTTCTCCTCCATGATTAGGACTATCGCACCGACTGAAAGGTTTGATTTGCTGGCACTCCACTTAGCTCGTTGTTGCAAGATCGTCAGATATTCTTTGCTCCATTTCTCCCAGAAAATCTGCAGTATGCGTGACACTCGCTGCCATCTGTCGAGCCGATTTAGATTAATTAGCGTAACATCAGGCTCAACAAAGGATGTGAGTGGAGCTCCAGTGAGAAAATGAGCCGGTGTTAATACTTCTATGTCATCCGGATTTTCTGAAAGTGGACATAAAGGTCGTGAATTAAAAATGGCTGATATTTGACAAGTTAATGTACGCAGCTCATCAAAGGTTAAAACTGAGAGGCCTACGGTGCGCTTGAAATGATACTTGGCAGACTTAATGGCTGCCTCCCACAGTCCACCAAAATGCGGAGAGCGGGGGGGTATAAACTGCCAGTCAATTCCATCATTCAAACATTGATGCACAATTGCTTCGGTGTGTGAGCTGCTTTTGAACAAACGCCGTAATTCAGCCAACTCATTTTTGGCACCGACAAAGTTGGTCGCATTATCAGACCATATCGTTTTCGGTTTGCCACGCAGAGATACAAATCTATTCAATGCTGCGAGAAACGCTGAGGTAGACAACCAGCAACCAGGTCCATGTATATCGCCTTTGTTGCGAAACAAACGAATAAAGAAACGTAGCATTTTATCGGAGGCTTGTTACGGACCTCAGACTTGTAAAAGAATGGACCGCAAAAGTCCACTCCAGTGACTACAAATGCTCGATTAGCTTGCACTCTCTCCCGTGGAAGATTACCCATTATATGCTCTTGTAGCATAGGTTTCGCTCGAAAGCAGATGATGCATTTATTGACAATGCGGTTTACCGAACGCTTGCCACCTATGGGCCAATACTGCAGCCGTATTGAAGCGAGTAAAGATTGTGGCCCAGCATGAAGTAATATGCGATGATAATGAGCAATAACAGCATCCGTGAGATGGTATTTTTTCGGTAAAATCATAGGGTGTTTCGATTCGAAGTCCAATGTTGAATTTTCTAGTCTTCCACCAACTCTAATTACGCCTTCCGAGTCCAAAAAGGGGTTAAGATTGTAGATTTTGCTAGATGAATCAACCGGTTTATTTTCTTGAAGCACCTTATATTCTGCCGCCAAATGTACTCTCTGGATCATTCGGACTAGCAATTGAGTTCCACGCTTAATGTGAATTGCGCTTAAGTTTCCTGTAGTAGTAGTAGGGAGAGAAGAGCTACGATGGGCGAACTTGTAAATGTAAGCGTATATTCTTTGCATTTTATCAAAATCGTTTGCGAATTTTGAAGTTGTTGAATAATCGGTGGCAACAAACGTCGAAGCGAGACCGCGCTTGCGTCTCTCAGGAAGATCGATGACGTTTAGAGGTGATTGAGGCCAGTTGTAGACCGGACCGCGCAAGAAGTCTGGGCCGTATTTCCATAGTTTAGAGTTCACAAGCTCTTGAGGTGTCGCTCCCCAAGATAATACGTCTTCTGGATTCATTTCTGTGGGCACATAATGCCACTCCATTCCACTAGTCAACGCTTGAATACTGCTAACGCGATTAGCCACAAAAATGTTAAAATTTGAAGATGATTCCTTCAGCCACGAAAGTACAATCGTCGAATCCGACCAGCAATGAAATTCAGCTCCGAAAGCACCTAATCGTGCCACTGAAGCGACTAGATCTGCTAATAACGCTGCTGCAGACAACTCAAGCTTGGGAACTGTAAGGGTTTTAAGAGGGGAAACGCGCGATTTAGAACAAAGTAGCGCTGTTTTAATTGAGCTAGGGCATCCAGTTGATGCATAGATGCATGCGCCATAAACTGATAAACTTGCGTCGCAAAATGCATGGACAACAACTTTATCTCTGCTACGCAAAACGAACCTGGGAAAGCTGCATTTTCCTATACCTTCGTAGCCCCTGTATAACTCGTTCCACATGGCTTGGAACGATTGCCTTCGCAATCACTGGGCATATTAATCCAAGTGGGTCGTAAAATCGTGCGATCATCGACAATACGGATCGTTTGGTAACCTTTTCATTGGAGACTTGAGNTTGCCTTCGCAATCACTGGGCCTATTAATCCAAGTGGGTCGTAAAATCGTGCGATCATCGACAATACGGATCGTTTGGTAACCTTTTCATTGGAGACTTGAGGAGAAAATGAGAAAAGGAAGTCGTCACCATCTGGATTCCGGCATAATCCCAAAGTCTTAGCGATATTAGTTCCGTCGTGGAATTTAAGAAGCTTCTCTCAATCACACTCGGTAATTTCAGACAATACGAGAGGACTATTAGAACACCACTTTCGAATATTAAAATTACCTCTGGACAATAACTCGCTAGTTTGTCGTTTGATTTCCAGAACTTGTTCTACAGATTCACCTCCCGAAATCAAATCATCGACATAGAAGTCACGAAATACGATATCTGCTCCGATGGGAAATGATACGCGCTCATCTCTTGCTAATTGCTGCATGGCTCTGATTGCGAGAAAAGACGCTGGCTTTGTGCCATACGTGACAGTGTCCAATTTAAATATTTGGGGGTCGTTTTTTCGATTTGCTCTCCAGAGAACACATTGGGCCTACCTCTCACGGTCTGACATTCGAACGCATCTATACATTTTTCCTATATCTCCCGTCAAGGCGATCTTATGAGAGCGAAAGCGAAGAAGAGTGTCAAACAGTTTAGGCTGAATAGTGGGCCCCGTCAGTAATATGTCATTTAATGAAAACCCAGAGGATGTTCGAGCGGAGCCATCAAAAACAACGCGCAGCTTAGTCGTAGTACTATCTGCCTTTAAAACACAGTGGTGTGGCAAGAAGAACGTTGCTACGCCAGGCGGAATTTTATCGACTATAGACATGTACCCTAAAACAGCGTACTCCGACATGAACGATGCGTATTGAGTTTTCCAATCAGGATTGCGCTCAAGTTTCCGCTCAATATTTCTCAACCGATTGAGTGCATTACTATATGAATTCCCAAGTTGATTGGGGTTGCGTTTAAATGGTAAACGGACTGCATACTCCCCCGACTCCAACCTAGTATAATGCCCTTGAAAATGTCTTTCACAATCCAATTCTTCCTGGCTAACCTTTGATGCAGAAGAAGAAATATTTTCAATTTCCCAGAATTTCTGTACTGCTTCTTCAAGAGATGCATCCACATAATTTTTAAGCGAATGGGCTTTGAATGCAGCTAAACAAGATGATGCACGAGTGGTGGGTAAGGCACCTCCAGAAACAACCCAGCCTAAACGAGTTTTCTGCAACAATGGCAGGTGATCAGACAACCGTATTTGTCCTACACACAAGAGGTCAAAAAATAGACCCGCTCCAATAAGTATGTCGATTCGTTGAGACTTGTAAAAGTAAGGGTCTGCTAATTGTATGTTCGATGGTATCTGCCACTCGATATTGTTCAAAGTGTAACTGGGTTGATTCTCAGTGATGGATGGCGTAACAACAGCAGTAAAGGAATTTGTATAGTTACCAATCCGTGACTGCATAGAAATTTCTATAGTGTGATTAGCAACAAGATCTGTCTGACCAATACCAGAAACAAGAGTTGTCGATTTAGTTCGCTTTAGCCGAAGCATATTAGCGCAACGCGACGAGACAAAATTTAATTGCGAGGCTGAATCCAATATAGCTCTGCAGGGAACTAGGGAACCGACACAGTTTTTAACGAAAATAACAGCAGTGGCTAACAGAACCACATTATTAGGAAGAGAATTTGGGGCCTCTGCGAGAGAGCTAACGAGCGATTGATGTGTTTGAGCGACACTGAACGTTGAGGGATCATCAGGTAATTTTTCAACAACAGGTGCAGCCTTCGGGATTGCGTGTAAAAGCGTATGATGCTTTGAACTGCAATCTCTGCAGCCAGATGATTTGCAATGTTTTAAGAAGTGGCCCTTTTTAAGACAATTTGTACAAAGCTGCAGTCTTTTTGCCTCTTTAAGACGTAGCTCAGGGGACAAATTAAGAAACCTATTGCAGCGATATATAAAGTGATCAGCGCTATCACAACACAAGCAGTTTGATACTACATTTGAAGCGATTAACGCCTTACGAGGATTGGAATTTAATTTTTTGCCCACCTGTTTGCTAGGTGTCTGGGTTACCGTAACATTTTCCACGTTTTCCAACATTTGACAGCGTCTGTTCCAAAATTACATCACAGAATCCAGCGTAGGCAGCTCCTTGACTGGCGTAGTTTCTTCCCATTTCATTTTAGAGTCCACATCGAATTTGTTCACAATGAGATGTGCTAGTATACCATCTGCTATCTGCTCTTTAGTTGCTATGGTCTGGAGTGCTCGAAGGTTGGCGGTGAACTTATCGCTTAGCTCTCTCAGCTGGTCAACAGCACCGTTCTCGCATTTCTTTAACCCAAATAATTCCTTTATATGTGCCTGAAAGTTCAAACGTTTATTGTTAAAGCGATCTTGGAGTATACCTACGGCCTTGTCGTAGTTGTGGTCATTTATTTCTCGTGAGCGAATTGCGTTTAGCGCGCTGTCCTTTAAACTAGCGCGTAGATGCTGGAACTTTTCAATTTTGGTCAGTTCGGGATTGTTTCGAACATTGAGTAGAAATCGGGCCATTCGGTGTATGCTCCACCAAATTTCGGGATCTGCAATGGAGGTAGACGGGCCTTCGGTTGAGAGATGATAATTGAAGTTGCTTGATCCTCTGCTGCAAGGTGGCGAATAGTAGACGAATGCCGCATTTCAGGCACGTGGCGCGAACTTATCTCCTTTGTTAGCTTCGTTATCACTCGAATGTAGCCCTCGGTGAATTTGGGACGCGAATCCGCTTCAAGCTCCTCATAATCATGCTCTTCTAGCTTGGACTGCACGGTTTCGAAGTTATGCTTCAGTTCACACAAGAGCTCTAAACGGATAGATAGCTCCTCTTCAATGAGCTCCTTTAGACCTTCCGCGCAGGTAAATTTTTCCATGTCAGCAAGCTCTTTGATATACGAAGCGCATTTCCTTTTGAGAAACGTGGTTTCACCTTTGTTGAAAGTGTCACTTTTCTGCCCTCTTTGCGGTGCCATACCTTACGACAAACTAAGTAGAAGCTTAATGTTCAATGAAGACAGTTTGCAAATATGTGCAAGTGATAGCAATTTATAATTCGCGACAATTACAATAAATTAATTGGCGAATTTAGCAAACAATAATTTCGCAATGTAATCGCACGTGATATATGTATATCACGTCGGGGTCACCAAAATGAAGAAGTACTGAGCCTTTTCAGTACTTGTATTTGCAATAACTTTCCCAATAAATTTAAAAGGATGAACAAGTATTGCTTGGTTCGCTGTCTGTACAAGAACTGCTTTTATTAATGTCAGAGCTGCTCTTGCAGACTCAAAATTTTATCAACAATATACTATGTATTTACAGTATGACCTAAATGACATCGCACATGCAAAAGGCAGAAAATAGAAAATGACAAAGGTGATAACCACTAGTTACATTATGCTTATATAGAAGTATGTACATACAATTGCAAAGTAAATACATAAGCCGTATTACAGTGAAGAGAAAAAATACTGAAGCAAATAGATTTCATAATGCAATGTTGTTTTCAAGGGTTTAGCTGTTCTCTAAACAGCGCTATTTCTTCGATCACTAGTGTTTTCTTCCCCCCACTTTCTTTTGGCCATAGCGCAATTACAGCGTGAAAGAAAGCGAAAATAGAGAAGAGACAGTACTAGGTTGCGCAAGTCATTTTAATCGTCGATTTAAACACTGGAAATCTCAAAATCTGTATAAACTGTAAATTGTATTTGTTCTCTGTGGTCATGTAATATTATGCGAATTCTTTCACAATCCTTCAAAGATTGAAAACAGCCGCGAATGCCAAGTAAAGGCTCTGTTTTGCATACTTGGCATTGCTTGAGAGTTGTCACATAAGTTAGGGTTTACACCGGACAATATTGTCAAGACATTATGTCAAAGTGATGTGTTTGTTGTAACCAGGCCGAATTCATATTACAACAAACACATCATTTTGACATAATTGTCTTGAAAATACTGGCTGATGTAAACCGAAGTAAGGAATCTGTTAAATGAGCTTCGCGTGTAAGCGGTTAGGCACTCGGCACATTACGCGCCTAATCAAAGTAGAGTATGGCTGACTTCCAAAACGTCAATTGCTTTGCATACGTACAAAGCAAGGCACATAAATACAGGTAGAAGCCAAAATGACGTTGCTCTCATGAGAACCAAACCTTTAAACTTCAACTTGATTTTATTTTATTTCCTATATTTCGTTACGCTTAAAATGTCATGTCGTTTGTTTTTTTTTGAATGTTCGTTAAAAACAAATTTTAATTAACATTTGCATTTTTGTAGTGTTGTGCGGTTTATACTTAGTGTATGTGTTAAAAATGCAGCACCTGAAGCGTTGTTTTTTATGTGGTGTTAAATATAATGCAGACATCACTAATTTTTTTAACGCCACTGGTGTTTTAAAAATGTAGATTTCAGAAAAATTGTTCATTGCTATTTTGAATATTTAAAATATGCAATGTATATGGTTGCAATGTGTCGCAACTCTGCATATACAAACAGTTTGAATACCGCGCAGTATAACAGTTTCCAAACATTGCATTAATACGTTTTGGAAGTCGGCCTAAGTAATCGTTTCATCATACCGAAACGAATGCATGACGACTCGACTTCTGCACACTTGCACGCCCTGCATAAGTCACCAGCTAATAAACACTTTCTACATATAACACATTTTTTGGCCGTTCTTTCGCAACACGCACTTCCGCAAATATTTCCGCTCCGAAATATTGCATAAACGCTTGTGGTTTAATGCAATTTGCACGAATTTTAGCACGAAATCGTTCATTTCCAATTATTTTCTATTGAATTGACAAATAAATTTTATTTACAACACAAAAAAGAAAACAAATGACGATTTCAAAACTGCAAGCGCCTTACAATGTTGGGCGCTTCGATTCATGAAGCTTTTATGATTAGGCGCAAACATGATTTTGACTCGTAATCTACAGAGCTTCATTGAAATACATGGGTTCGGCATAAAAGCTTTATACTTTAGTATGCCGAAACGATTACACTACTGTGATTAGGAGCTTAATGTGCGGAGTGCCTTACTCAACGCACAGCATTACATACGTAGAAGTCTGTTGGTTTTTGATTTTTACGTAAAAATGGTATAGTAGTGCATGCAATGCCAAGTATGCATAACATAGCCTTAAGCTATGCGTACACGGTAGAGAAATCTCTCGAGAGTTTCACTGAAATAAAAATCTCCTCTCTCAATTAAGTTTACACCAGTGCCCGCCAAACACTTTCCTGGGAAGCGAACTATATTCGGCCTTTCACATGTACACAATCGGCTTCTTACACGTACACAATCCGAACGTCAACAGAAAGAGTAGAAGAGCAACAAATTTTATTTAGTTGCATGCAAACCATTGTATAGGCTTACAAGTATGGAAAGCGCCATTTTGTTTGTTTACATTTGAAAACAGCTGAGATCACCTGATTTTCAATTCTCTCGTTCTCCGCACAGAGTTACATTCAAGTTTCAGAAAAAACTTTAAAATGTAAATTGAGAAATATTTTAGAAAAATGTGTTCTTATTCATTTGAATTCAATAAAAAAGAAATTAAAAATGCGTGCCAAGTCTTGCATTTCCAATAATACTTAACGATAAATGTGTATGTTCCAGGCAATAATTTAAAATATTTGTGAAACTTATCGTTTTGCTCTAAAATACAACAATGTGTGTAAAATTCGTTGTCATTGCTTCTGTTTTGAATATCATATTCGTGCCTGCCGTGGAAAAAATAGGTAAATTTGCATTTATTTTCAAGAAAACATATCAGTTAAAATATATTTCTTTCCAGAGCGACATACGGACAAGTAAGATGATAAATTTGTATGATGAATATCGCGGAAAAACTTTTGTATCAAAATTTCTATTCTAATTTGCATTTGAATTATGATATCAACAGAGTTGATTTGGGACGTATTTTTTGAAGACAATTTTCTTATAAATCTTGAGATTGTTGATGTATTTTAGAATTAAAAAAGGGAGTTTATATTAAAAAATATATTTACACTAGCAGTATGTAAATTACTTTTATTCCGAATTGAAGCGATTTTAATGAATATTCATGGTTACCATTAATAGTAGTATGACAGTTAGATCTAAATGCATATTAGACAAGAAAGATAGAATACAAGATTGCGCCGTCCTGGCGGCGATGACATATCCGTACAAAAAATAATAAAAGTCGAATTGGATGTTGAAAGAAAATGTGAGAACAGCAAATTTTCTTAATAATAAATTTTTCGATAAGAAACGTGTTTTGATTGTGCTAATTCATAAACAATAAAGTAGCTTAAAAAAGGCTTTTAAATTGAAAAATGTTTGTAAACGGCAATTAAAAAGCTTTTTAAAATTTTTATTTTTTATTAATAAGGCAATAAAAATATGATTTACAATAACTTTTAACAAAGGAAATACGAAATAAGGTGATTTTTGCGGAAGTGGGTATTAGTGAATTTCAGTGCATTCAAAGTTTCTGAGGTTTCGTTTACCTTTAGATCAGAATTGTCAAAATTGAGAAATTCAAAGTAGCGATACAATAATCATAGAAAAGAAGATTGCGCCCTGCTGTGATGATGTGTAAATTTACCACGATGAGGAAGAATATAACAATTAAGTGAAAAATTTTATGTTTACAAATTTAGTGAGCAGTAACGCGTTTCAAGAACGATATTTCAGACAAATCGTTAATGAACAACTATTTTTCCTTCCCGTCTGCTTTAGTTTTGGCAAAAAAGTTGATAAGCTCCTGACGGCGATCAAGTCATTTCAACCATAAAATAATATTATTTGCAAGAACCACTCACTAAAATTGTAACTAACTTTTTATTATTTATTAATTCCTTTTTGATATTCAGCAATAACAAGATGGAAAAAAGTATAAAATAAAAGTTCACAGAGGAAACGCCGGAAAACAATGTATTGGCAACAACATAAAATTTATGGCAATTTAGATGTCAACAGAATAATAACTACGATAAAAAAGCATG